CAGGAGGTTGGGGGCTGCGACGACTACCGAGGCTGCAGGCTGTCGGGGTTACGGCGGGCGCCTCGCTGGAGAATGGCAGAGAACACGTGGGAGCGGCGATGTCAAGTAGTACTTGAACCGTGCGACACCGATTCGTCATAACGCAGGCAGCTCTAGGAGGAAAGACCAGTGCTGTGCCATCGGTGAATCCTAAATTTCCATAAGAATTGTTATGTCGTTTTCTGCTTAGACAATGCTGTTTCTGACTTTCCTCTCCGAAAGTGCGGCGAATCTGTCGAAATTGTATGGAAGCCTACTTTTACTTAATCCCACGTTCCTAACGGTCTTTGGGAGCTACAGTGTAATTAGTTCCTGATAAACGCAAGTAGAGGCACCAGATTGGGAGCTCTGCAGTTCTCGATAAATCTTTCGAATTTTATCCAATGTTTCAGTCTCGTAGGGCGATACGCTGCCCTTAAAGTAAAGCATTCATCTGTCTTAAACCTTTCACTTCAGGAGTTTGTTTCCACCCGGAGAGGGATGGCAGAGCACCACGGAGTACTTGCTTTCTGGTTGGATGTTTCGGGCGCCTTTCTCGGTACGCATGCGTATTGTGCCCCGGCGGGGGGCGGGTTTAGCGGAAGTAGGTGTCAACCCGCGGACCGCCGAAGCTGTTGTCAAAGGAGACGAGGCGGCGCGGTTTGCTGGCTCTGGGGAGTCTCGCGAGTGTATGTGGGTGGTGTCGGACGGCTGAATCTTGAGGCGTGTGTAAGACACTTGATGAAGAAAGCTGTTTGGATTTGGGTGCTGTAAAAACAGCATTTCGATTTTACCGGCACGACTAACGTCTTCTCCGCAAAATTTAATCCCGCCTCCACACCTGTTGGTTTTGCCCTGCCTGCGCTCGGTTGGGGCAGCGCCTTGTTATTGTTGCTCGTTTTCTCGCCATCCTTACTTTCAAATTTAAGTGCGTTAATAGACTTTCTGGGAGTAATCGCTGAATGTCTTTAGTCCTGGGTTAAATATCAAAATTTAAATTTCCAGCTTTGCGGATATTCTGGTGAGACTTTTATGTTAATAACTGCATGTTTCATAATCATTTGGAATTCACTTATTCTTTACCATATTCCTCCCTCTTCCTGGTTTTTCTACTCTGTTGGTCCTCGAAGAGATGCTATTTTTGTTCTGAAGTCTTAGGGACCCAGAAGAAAGTTCTGTTCAGAACGGTGGGGCTGTTTGTTACTCAGACCATGAAAGGATCCGAGGTTAGCCTGGAAAAGAAAAAGAGACTTAAAATGCCAGCGAGGAGACTTCGTGAGGTCGTTTCTCCAAATAAGGGAAGTAATTTGCCTTTGCTGAAGGATGAGCTGCCGTGTGTTCCTCCAGCATTGTCTGCAAATAAACGTCTTGCAGTTCGCATGGGGACGCCAGACAGCGGATCGTTACCTGGTAGGTGATTCCATACACTGCAGCTTTCCAGCCAGTTTTTACTTTTGTAACTCTTTGGTCCTTACTCTCATTTAAAATTAGGGAATTCTTAATGTTTAAATTCTCAAATAAATATAAGATATGAGTCCAGCTTATACAGATGTTTGAAACTGGTCCTCTTCGAATGGATTAAATGAATCGAACTTTGACCTTTCTTTTGGGCTTTCTGTGTTTTTTGCAATTGTGCTTGTTCACATCTATGATGGGCACACTTAAATTGTATAATATGGTTAATTTTCCCTGGTTGTGCTTTTTACCAAGTGCTCTGCCTTTTTGGATAGTGCCATCCAGTTTGGACAGAGAAAAGCACAACTTGAGTCATTTGGTGGTTTCTGTATTCCAATTCATTTATTCCTGCTGGAGCTTAATGAAAATGAAGATAACATACCTATTACTCACTTTACTGTAAGTTGGACTGGTTATTGCAAGCAAAAACGGTAAAATGCTTTTATATTGCTATTTTTTTGGAGGTATAGCAGTGATACCATAATATGCCTGCTGTTAAATCAGTTGTTTGTATTATATACATATTGTTTTTCTTATAAACTCTGTAGTTTGTCCATATTCAGTAGTGAGTCAACTATATATGTATTTTGTTTTGATTTTTTAATTGATTTTTTTTTTCTTCGTACTGGAGATTGAACTCAGGACCTTGCAGTTTGTGAGGTGCCACTGAGCTAAATCCCCAGCCCATTGTTTTTTTTTTTTTAGACAGGAACTCACTCTGTAATTCAGGCTGGCCTTGAACTCCCTAGGTAGTGGCAGGCTGGTCTCGAACTCATGGCGATTTTCCTGATTACATGCATTGCCACCACCTATGGCTTTAAAACATTTTATTCTTCTCTTCCTTGAATGGCCATAATTGACCCTTATTTTTTCAAAATATCAACTGCAAAAACCTCCATTGGATATATTTTAATACATTTAAAATATTTTTTTCCCATCTAAACTGTCTTCCAATGGGTTTCAAATTAATGCAGATGTGTAGTTCTTGAATCAGGCTCATATAGTTTCTAAAGGTAAGGTTCTGGTTTAAAAAAACACTCATTCTTTGCTTTGCTAGGTTCATCAGACTTACCTTCTGCTAGAAGTTATCACCAGCCTCTGTTAGAAAAACCCACTGCATCTGAAAGTGTAAGCAAAATAATTCTTAATGTGTTAATTATGTTAAAATTGTCAGTATTATCAAGCAGTGTACTCTTAAATTATATTTGATTAGCAGTGTATCTTTTTTTTTTTTGTACTGGGGATCGAACTCGGGTCCTTGCACTTGCAAAGCAGGCGCCAGAACCACTGAGCTAAATCCCTAGCCCTCTTGTCTTTATTTAGCTATTAAATACAAAATGTTTTATATACTGTGTGTCTTGCATAGGGTTTGAGACATTAAACATATCTACTGTATTACTACTCCCATTGATTATTTTTTAGAAGGTTAACATCTGTCATCAGCAGATAATCTTGAACAATTTCCTTTTAGGGTTTACCCTTTTCCTTTTCTAATTCAGCAGAAAAAAAGAAAAGGCAAAATGGACAATTGAATGGATCTGGTACTTTACAGGTCACAATGCCTTAGCACTGAGTAACTTAGAGATGAAGTCTAGGATTGCACACTTTAGCAGAAAGCTGTTTGCCAGTTGGTGTGACTTCTGTAGCGGACTCTCTCAGACCATACCCGAGCTTAGTGATTAGAGTGTGTTGATCAAACTTTGAGGTATTGTATTGTATTCACTGACTATCCTTTTCCACTCCTTTTGATGCACCAAGAGTTTCCACATGGGACTGGTACAACTGATGTGTAAAGTGATTTGTTTTGCTGCAAGTGGCAAATCAGGGTTTGAGTGTGAATCTCTTTGGCTTGCTTGTTCATTTACTCATTTATTCACTTGTCCAACAGCGTGTGTCTCACTGATCGTACCCTCAAGCAGCTTCATCGTTCCTGTGCATGGTGTAGTGCTGGGACTGAAGTATATAACACATGCAGTCCTGCCCTCCCAGACCACAGTGGTCACACAGCTGGGAAAGGCTATTAAAAAAAAATCAGCTATTATTTAATTCCAGAGCATTTGACATTCTTGCCTTAACAGTTAAAAAAAAAGACACAGAAAACTCCATAATTAATACAGTACGCCCAAAGTTTCAGTCTGTTTTGCAGTTTACTCATTTGATCTGTGATTATATAGTTCTGCCATTTAAAATATACTACTGAAATCTAGCTTTTACATTCCAAAAATTATCTTCAGTAGTAACTTAGTATATTTTTTGTGGTTATTTCTGAGAATATTTTTCAGAATGTGGGAATATATATGTATATTTATGATCGTGTGTTTAAAGTCAGATTTTGATATTTCACATATATATAATCTTTAAGACTTTTTTTTCTTTTCTCCTTTTAATTTTTTGAGACAGGGTCTTGCTATATAGTTCAGGCTGTCCTTGAACTCACAGTGATCCTCCCACTTCTGCTTCCCAAATGCTGGGATTATTGGTGTCCAATCCATGCCTGGCAAAAATTTTGTAGAATATTGTGGTAATATACTTCTCTAGATTTACAAAAGTATGTATTAATAGTAGATGAAAGCACTTTAAGGATTGTTCTTGTTTTCTCCACTTAGCATCCCAAGTGTTTTCACTGCCACACCCTCTTCACTCATTTCACAGAAGGCACTGTAGCTAAGGTCAGTTTTACCAAAGTGGCACCCAAATTGAGATACCTGTATTATCATTATTTTCAAAATAAATTCATTTAAAAATTAAGAAGCAGAATTTGAATGACTATTTTAAGCTGCCTCAGTACTTTTGGCCACTTCTGTTTTCATGATAGATTAAAAACTATCATCTCTGGGGAAAGTGAACGCAGCACCAACTTTGCGCATGATTCTGCCTCACTATTGTGGTGCAGCCTTGAGCTGCAGCACTGTTGTTTCCGGTGACACTGCTCACACCGTCAGTGCTGTTACTCACACAGCAGGGTACAAACACACCTCAGAGATCTCAGTAAAATGTAGTTATGCCTTTAAACTTTCATTTGAACTTGGCTACTTTTCTTGTTGCCGAGATAAGATACCTGGTACCCAGAGTTAAAGGAGGAGTGGTTTATTTGACTCACAGTTTGTAGAGTTTTAAGTCCACAGTGGGCTGGTTCCAAGACAGTGTGACATGGCAGAGGGGCATGGTGGTTTATTTGACTCACAGTTTGTAGAGTTTTAAGTCCACAGTGGGCTGGTTCCAAGACAGTGTGGCATGGCAGAGGGGAAACAGTCCATAGGAGGTAGAAGACAGTGAATCAGGAGCAGCAGCAGCTGCAGCGAATGGCAGCAGCCCTCTTTCTGTCCCTTATATTCTATCCAGGCTGCCTGCCAAGGGGCAGGTAGCACTCACACCCAGAGTGGGCCTTCCCCTTATCCACACTCAAACTATGCCAAACCAATCAACAGACTGATTTAGGGATCACACACTCTTGATCCCAGCCTTACACACTCTAGATCCAGCCACGTCTGAAAAGCCCCACCAGTGACCACACGAGACTTAAGGGAAACATCGAGACACAAGCCATGACATACTAAAAGCAAAGCAATAACACATCCAATGTTAAAACCACTTAACAAACTTACTGTCAAAGCATGTCTTGATGGCATGGTATCGTGGGGTGATGAACTGTGCAGTCTGGTCTTGTACACTGCGTGTTTACAGTGTTTGGGAGATAGAAGGAACATTCCACTTTCTTACTAGCTGGGAAGTAACAGCAGAGCTTACTGGTAGAAGGTGATGCTGGTGTTGTAGCTGCTGCTTCTGGAGACAGTACTGGAATTCTTTTATTGATAGAGTGAAGGGACAGCCTGGGTTAGTACACTTTGCATTGTATTTTCCATTTGGAAAAAACTTGAAACAGGGTGGTGCTGCGC